TGTTGCGTTTGAACTATGACTTATTGATAATCCCTCATACATGCACGCTCTCAATATAGTCTCACAATGCTTAAGCAGTCAGACTTCGCATCATTAGGAAAAACCCTACATTCACTGATGTAAGCAATAGGGCTCTCACGAGTCCAAAATTTGGGACTCGAGTATTCGAGGTGTCAGACCCGACTAGGACCCGAGTACCCGACAATTTGGATGCTTATCTGAAACCAACATTCAAGCATACACGTAGCTGTTCCAACTTCCAATCTACGAATAATGCAAGATGTATATGTGAATCCAAACGTTCCTGAATAAAGCAATTGATATTCAATGTCAATGGAAGTATCTATTACCTTTTTTATTTGCAAACAGAATGTGAAGGCAACGTAAGTGTCACTGTGACCCAGTTCTACGCGATCAATTATGTGATTAATATTCATGAGCTGGGCCGGTGATACCTTATTACGCCTGTAAATGCTGTAATATGATTGGATGTGTCCGGGAAAAGAAACCAATCAATCTACTTCTCTTTTCTTTTGGTTTTAAGTTTGACTGCGCTTTCAAGATTATCTAATATTAATATGTCGTTGCAGTTATGACATATTAGCAACTTTTAAACATTCACCTGGACGATAAGTCACATAATCAATTAACCTTAATCACGGTTAAAATGCGGCAAAACACGTTCCAAAGCTGGAAGATACATAGATAAAGCATTCATTGATTGGTGCTGCATTAGATACTAGTATCTTGTAAAGATGGATCGACTATGGAACTTAAAGAATATGTAAAACAGGATTGATGTTTATTTGAGACTTCTTATAGTGAAAACGGTTTGGTTTCAAACTAAAGACTAACCATTTATTGAGTAACACTACGCTGTATTTCTTCTTCCGAAACTCTGCTGAACGGAGATCACGTCAATGGTATTCATTGTGATTAAAATTTTCACTATTAAGGATATAGGTCTCCAAGTGTGAATGTTATTTTGAATGCGTATGTATGTGTTGATTGTTGAATATGTAATACTGAAATACGCTGGATAAGAACGACTGAATATCTATGTAGAAAACAAGTTGTTCAAACATAGGTATAGTGGGCAGGGACAGTAATACAGCCGTGAGTGGCTACGCTTGTCCACGCGTCCGTAGTTAGGGCAACGGCAGGTATTGTTTTGGGTACTGATATTTGGTTTTCCTTGCAAACTTCATACGACTTTATGAGGTAGTTGTGAATTGTCGCAGTACATGGGACCTGGTAATTTGGGTTCAATGGTTCACAGAAAGCCCTGAAACCCTCCCCTTTAACAAGACTTAATGGTCGCACATCCTTAACGCGCATAAACATTGCTTTTTGCGTAATACCTTCATACCATTTCCTGTCAACAGGCTTGCGACTTTTGCTATCAAACTTACCAAACTGCCCCAGCGTTGCTTGTTGAGCTGGTTTTCTGTCTACAGTGCTTATTGTGGGTGCTTACAGGACAAATGCTTGCGTAACTAAGGGAAACGCCACAAAGACGGCATTTTGTATTTTGGCCACTAAATCAAGATAAAAATGCGTCCAGACATTGGATTTTTTCTCACGATCATCCATCTTGATTGCATGAGATGTTTAGAGGTATCTCCCCTGCGAGTCCTCGAGTCCATTCAATTGGACTCGAGTCCTGCTTTACCCGACTCGGCCCCGAGTACCCGAGTACTCGTGAGAGCCCTACTAATTATATAGGCAACAGACTTCCTCATTTTCAAATATGAAACAAAACTTTTTGACACATGTTTTCCAATCCGCTGCTTTTCTAGCCAGTGTTTCAAAGGGGCGGTGGGTAGCTTAGTGGTTAAAGCGTCCGCTCGTCACGCCGAAGACCCGAGTTCGATTCCTCACATGGGTACTATGTGTAAAGCCCATTTCTGGTGTCCCCCTCAGTGATGTTGCTGGAATACTGATAAAAATTCATTCACTCAGTCAGTTTTTCAAAACAGGATAGGAACCAGAGAGACACTAAATAGGGCATTGTTCCAAACCAAGTTTGTTAAAAAACATCCTTTGATATTATATCTTGACTATTCCAAAGAAATATATCCAAACTATTTATGATAGAAGGGCCATGATTTTTGGTGTGTGTTTAACTCCACGCTCAGCCACAATCCAGCCACAGGACCAGACAATCCTGGGTTACCTGACATGTGTCAACCAGCCAGACAACCCGATCTCGTTAGTCTCTGTTCTTACAACAAACATGGGTTGCTGAAGACCATGTCTAACCCGGATTTTCAAGGTCAAGAAGGACCATGAAGAATAATAAATACTATCAATTTCGTCTTACATAAGACTTCAAACCTAATTACATTCCATCCAATTCACCCATGGCTCACAAGAAAGGTCTGTGATGTCTCTCGTTGTATGAAATGCGTAATATAATTCGTCTTTCCGTGAGAGAAACGTCAACCAGATGGATTACATGATCTATGTAATGAATAATTGCAAACTACCCATTAGGAGATTTTATGTCTCTCCTCACAACTGGTGGATAGTACAAGGCCCTTCATGGTCCATCCATGGTACATCACAACACAATTTGTCTTTTGAAATACCAAAACAATCTCCGTAAAATTTCAACTGGAGTAAAAACAAACATGCATCTGGTTATAAGTCTCTTGAAACTAGAACTAATCTACTCCAGATATTCAGCTTATCCTGTAGTAAAACTTATGCTAAAATCTGGCATTTAACGAGTTGCTGACTTTATATCTCAATCTATTGTTTTATATCCTTAGTCTGACAAACTGAAATGTGGTTTTTATGGATATATTTTATTTTTACTTTATGGTGTAAAAGTTATGTATGGTCGGGTTGCTGTTATTATTTGATATAAAAGCATTGCTGAATTACAAAATACAATGTTTTCACATATAGAAATCATGAAACATAAAATTATGGGATATGTAGACACGATGTATTTAACTTTGCGAGCAGAGTTTAGTTCAGACACTGCCAGAGGTACAACGCCGAACCATGATCAATACTTTACAGCTCAAAATAGACAATGTCTGTAACCGTGGTATGTGTACTGACCTTGCTCAACACATGCCTATAAGCTTGTTTCCTTGCAAGCTAAACGTCTTATAAAGAATCTGTATTCACTGAAAACAATGCAGTGCCGTAATTATCATATGGGACGTTATTATAAAAATGTTCAAATGTTTTCTATGAAGACATGACTTACATGGATATTCATCATCTTCAGTTTTGAAATTCTGACAGTATCATACTACGGCTTCCCAACCAACTTTAAAGCAGTAAAAGATTGCAAGAACATTCTGAGAAAGCATAATGGGTCATCCCAGTGGTATATGAATGTACAATGTGGTAAATTTTATGGAACTTCTTTCACTTGATAAGTATCCTCATGGTCCTGGTTTGCCTTGCCATGGGCATTTTGTGAGCCCCGATGATGTGATCATCTCGTTGGACTCCTCTACAATATCGTTGTTCTTCCACCAGGTCGTACCTGAAGTCTCTATGTCTTTGCTATTTATGGATGATCAACAATGAACCATAATTTGCTATTCAGACAGCTTGCCTTTTATCACAACGTTTCCTTATGGCTACATGGTCTTTGAGATAAAATGTCAAGGTCGTGTGTCGACTTCTAAACATTCAGTAACTAAGTTTGTCAGAGCAAAGGAGAGCACAAAAGATGTAATCGGAAGTATTGTACATGGTCTAGTAAATGTGTATGACTTGCTGATGGTATTGACAGAAATTCGATATATGTTGCATGTAGACTGAGAGGTTACTCTGATGATGACCACATATTGAAATATGGGAGTACAGTGCGAATCTCAAGAATGCGCGTAATTGAAATCTTCTTTGAACCGGTCATTTCAAATAAGCGAACACACACGAAATGGAGGGGGAAATGAGGTAGGGATGAAGTGAGGGAGGCTAGAGAGGCACGAGGGAGGTAGGGGAGAGAGGCTAGGAGAGATGAGGGAGGCTGAGGTGAGGTGACAGAGGCTGGAATGAGGTGAGAGAGGCTACGAGAGGTGATGGGGGCTGGGGAGAGGTGAGGGAAACTAGGGAGACGTGAGGGAGATTGGCGTGAGGTGTGAGAGGCTGGGGAGATGTTAGGGAGGTTGGCGAGAGATGAGAGACGTTGGGGAGAGATGAGGGAGGCTGGGGTGAGGTGAGAGAAGATGGAGTGAGGTGAGAGAGGCTAAGGTGAGGTGAGAGAGGCTAGGATAGATGAGGGAGGCTGGGGTGAGGTGAAGGAGGCTGGAAAGAGATGAGAGAGGTTTGGGAGAGGTGAGGGAGGCTGAGGAGAGGTGAGGGAGGCTGGGATCAGGTGAGAGAGGTTGGGGAGAGGTGAGGGAGCCTGGGGTGAGGTGGGAGAGGCTGAGGGTGAGGTGGGGGAGGCTGGGGCGAGGTAAAAGAGGTGAGGGGAGAGGTGAGGGAGGTTGGGGAGAGGTGGGGAGGCTGGGGTGAGGTGAGAGAGGCTAGGAGAGGTGAGAGAGGCTGGGGTGAGGATGAGAGAGACTGAGGGACAGTTGAGGGAGGCTGGGGGGGAGAGATGAAGGAGGAAGGGAAGAGAGAGAGAGGTTGGGAGAGGAGAGAGGCTAAGGTGAGGTGAGAGAGGCTAAGAGAGATGAGGGAGGTTGGGGAGAAGTGAGGAAGGCTGGGGAGAGGTGAGGGAGGTTGGGTTGGGGAGAGTTGAGGGAGGCTGGGAGTGAGGTGAGGGAGGCTGGGATAAGGTGAGAGAGGCTGGGGTGAGATGAGAGAGGCTGGGGACAGTTGAGGGAGGCTGGGGAGAGATGAAGGAGGATGGGAGAAGTGAGAGAGGTTGGGGAGAGGAGAGAGAAGCTGGGGTGAGGTGGGAGAGGCTATGGTGAGGTGAGAGAGGCAAGGAGAGATGCGGGAGGCTGGGATGAGGTGAAAGAGGTTGGGGAGAGGTGAGGGGAGGCTGGGGAGAGAGGAGAGAGGCTAAGGTGAGGTGAGAGAGGCTAAGAGAGAGGGAGGGAGGCTGGGAGAGGTGAGGGGAGAGGTGGGGGGAGGCTGAGGGAGGGTGGGGAGAGGTGAGAGACTGGGGAGAGCTGAGGAGACTGGGAAGAGATGCGGGGGGAGGTTGGGCAGGAGCTGAGGGAGGCTGGGGGTAGAGGGGAGGGGAGGCTGGGGAGGAGGTGGGAGGCTGGGGGGAGAGGTGAGGGGGAGGCTGGGGAGAGGTGAGGGAGGCTGTGTAGAGGTGAGGAGGCTGGGGAGAGTGGGGAGGGGGAGGGAGGGGAGATGAGGGGGTGAGGAGGATAGGGTAAGGTGAGAGAAGGCTGGGGAGGGTGAGGTGAGAGAGACTGGGGTGGAGGTGAGGGAGGGCTGTGGAGAGATGAGGGAGGCTGGGGAGAGGAGAGAGAAGCTGGGGGTGAGGTGAGGGGAGGCTGGGGGAGATGAGGAGGAGGCTGGGGTGAGGTGAGAGAAGCTGGGGTGAGGTGATGGTGAGGGAGGCTGGGGAGAGATGAAGGGAGGCTGAGAGAGAAGAGGTTGGGGAGGCTGAGGGAGCTGAGGGAGGCTGAGGGAGAGGAAGAGAGAGAGGCTGGGAGGGTGAGGAGAAGGAAGCAAGGGGAGACAGATGAGGGAGGCTTGGGAGAGGTGTGGAGGTTGGGGAGAGATGAGGGAGGCTTGGGAGAGGTGATGGAGGAGAGAGGTGAGAGAGATGAGGGAGGCTTGGGAGAGGTGATGGAGGTTGGGGAGAGATGAGGGAGGCTTGGGAGAGGTGGTGGAGGTTGGGGAGACATGAGGGAGGTTTGGGAAAAGTGATCGAAGATAGCGGCACGTGAGCGAGGTTGGGGGAGGTGGGGGAGACTGGGGAGACTGGTGTGAGATGAGTGAGGTTGGGGTTCACACATTGTACCCATGTGGGGTATCGAACCCGGGTCTTCGGCGTGAACGCTTTAACCACTAGGCTACCCCACTGATTCCGCATATGGGTACACTATGTGAAGCCCATTTCTGGTATCCCTCCGTCGTGATGTTGCTGGAATATTGCTAAAAGCGTCGTAAAACCAAACTCACTGACCTATTCTTGAACCTCTTCGCTATTTCTTAGTTTCGTTAAAGGTTACACGGGCAGTGTAGTATATCGTGGCTTCATACCGCATCACGACTGGCGGAAACTGACACCAGCTTTGGTAATTAAGTCGGTGATGAAGCACTCTCTTAGGTGAAGAGTTGTATGCTTAAAGATTGTGTGGTGAGGTGGTTATCCTTAATTGTAGTATATAAAATGATGCAGTAGTGGGCGTTAGGAGCGTTGCTCATGTATACATCCTTTATGGGGCGATATGTTCAGGGAGTCTGTGTAAAGACTGTAATCTGTTTTGACCATGTGGCACACTGATGTGATTGCGTGAGAAAGAGGCCAGATGTCGGGCTATAATGCCACACAGTCACACATTGCAGCCAGTTTATATTTCAGACGGATGTATGGTGTGCAGGAGTTCCCGTCAGAACCTTCGATATTTTTCAGGACATACATGTAAGCTTTACAACACAGTTGCAGTCCTTTTATGGCGGAAACATTGATTGCTGATGCTAGGTTACGCTTTATCACTCATCAGAGGTATAACGCATTGGGCTTTTCTCCAACTTTCAGTGAGTGGGTTTAGTTAGCAATGTAACAGCTTTTTGGCGCAAGTCTGTAAATAATCGAATCTGGACTAGACAATCCAGTGATCAACAGCGTGAGCATCGATCTACGCAATTGGGATACGATGATCTCCATCTTTAGAATGTCATTAGGTGATGTATCTAAAAAAACTGCTCTTTTTACTAGTAGTAAATAAATATCATTCAGTCTGTACAGCGTATTGGTGTTCTGGTAAATTATGATTGGATTTTCAATGTTTGAACGTCTGCCATGTTGAATGTTGTGATCATTTTTGAACCTTTATGATTGATTTTCATATAATGAATGTATGATGAAACAGTATGACTGTACTGTGACTGTAGGTTTACACCGCTTTAAGCAATATTCCAGCAATATCAGGGCACGGAACACCAGAAATAGGCGTCACACATTGTACCCATGTGGAGAATCGAACCCGAGTCTTCGGCGTAACGAGCGACGCTTTAACCACTAGGTTATCCCACCGCCCTGAATCACAAACTTACTTGTGACAGGTCAGTCTGAAATCTTTATTGAAAACATAATGCTATTTGTTTTTCCTCACAATAACACAGGCTGCTGTTGAAATTCGAGCAAAGCTGTTCTACAACTCGGACGAGTTAATCAATGTGAATGAAACCTAATAGCATCGTAATTTCTGCAGCTGAATACATCCTAGCTAACTATATGCACATTCTATTTTCCCCGTTAATACTTTGTTCCACTGACAGCAGTATGATAGAAACTGAAGTAGGAACTTGGTTTCAACATACTGCTGATATTGATAACGTAAAATGGGAAAGACTGGGTTTTGATTGTTCCATCAATCGTTTTTCGTTTATGCTCACCAATTAATTGCCTAATGTGATTTTGTTTACGGTTTGTGAGCAAAACACTGAATTTCACTGAGTTATTGACATTCATGGCACGGAGGATTCCGACTGACGCCCGACTAACTATATCGTGAGTGACTTAACTCGCGTACTTAATGGCATGTAGTCCAATAGAGGAGTTGACATACATGAGTCGTGTCAGTGCTTCTCGGGTTTGTTGCTCCACCTGACAATATTAGCCTTGCACTAACATTGCTAATGCAAATATCGAATTGATTTTTACAGAGGTCAATTAAGCGTGCCACTTTAAGTAGCTATGACGGGGTCTGTAATTCATTCGAACAAATATTTAGAAATAGTCATTGATTGACATATTTGTAAAGACTTATAAGCTGAACATTTGACATTGTAATCAATTGATAGTGCTCGTACATTTGACGAGTTAACTGTAAATGCATCTATAATTGAAATGAATAAAAGCCAACATGGTTCACTGAGAATTATCTTCAATCAAAATTAGAATGTAATGTAAATTTGTAATCGTGAATAAGAAAAGCTTAATAAATGTGTATCACTTAAGCTGTTAAGACATTTTTTCAAAATTATTTTCACATCAATGTCACCCAAAAAACTTCTCTACGAAGTCATCAATTATAGTAAAACCCTATTTTCCTTTACAAATCATAGCATCTACAGCATCTATATTAATTTGAATAATGATGATTTATTTATTTTCTTAAATATATTCTGGAATAAAAAATATGTGCTTTATCTCAATTCATGTAATCATGAACACTATAAATGTTCCAGTAACTTCCTGATCTCGCATAATGTTTCAGCCTTTAAGCCTGTGTTAATAGTCTTCCAAATAGTCTTCTTCTTGCTATGTTACTAATTCTCTATTTTATGCTGCCATAATAAATGGTAATACAGCCAGTTGCACTGTCATTCTATTGCGTACTGCCACAGTAATGATGTTGATAAACAACATTCATAAGAATGTTTTTAGACATTTACAAGTAAATCGCACAAAAGGAAGTTATTATTTTCACCTAAACGTTGATCTATCCGTGTTAGTCTTTGTTCGGTTTCAACTAAAATACATTTTCTGGCATTAACTACAACGGTAAAAGCAAGATGTTGGTCAAATTCAGAGTCATTACTCTTGTTCCGAATTTAGTGGACATGTTACCTCATAACAAACAGGTTCGTTCTAGGTTCCGACTTCTTTTTCTTATATATACAACGATCGCAGGTTCGAAGTATTGTCAGCGTTGTCAGTCACCACAGAATTCACCAGGCTGTTGAAGGTCTACGATTTTTGCTCCTTTAGACTTAACACTCTGCGATATCGATGAAATATTGTTCAAAGCGGCATTAACGCAGTTCCATTACTTTGGTGACACTGAGAATTTTCAAACACGTTGTATTCACGAAGATTACCATTTATCAACGAAATGTTTCTATGCTTTTAAGTCGTAAAATTCCTCATAACAATATGTCAAAATTTAAATAACCGAAGCATTTCCGAGATTTTTATTTTCTGATTCTTATTCTCGTTCATTAATTAGATAGGTTGTTATTTTAAAATATTGTTGCAAAATTCATCTAAATGTTCTGTCACGTGTTAAAGCCTGGACCTCCAAACGCGGATAACAACGGCGACAGATAAACTACTGTGTTTTACTATAATAACGGGATGGGCTCTCTGAAATGTACAAATTACAGTTTCACATCACATGCCTTCGTGTCGTGTCTGGAGTCCATATTTCACATATTTCTGTGTCTGAGAGCCCACTGTGCAGTATCAATTGATTCTCTTACACGCATGGCTGATGGTATCCTTTCAGGGGGAGACTGGAATGAAAGGCCATGTATAAATGTGAAGGGTTCCTTCTCATTACTGTAATTACTGCCGCTTCATGACAAAGGCTGCGACTTCTGTCAAAAGACGCCTCCCGACCGTATCATATATATGGCATAGTCTTATAATTTCCTGTACTTTGTGTCGACAAAATGGCATTTTTGTGTCTGCTAGCTTATCTACCATGTCTCTTTTACTTCGCAGATCAGTGTTCAGATGCCATTGTATTCATCATCATCCATATTGGTCAGCTACATCAGACTCATGTACAAATCAATCATAACATGTCCGGTTCTTCATGTTCTTTGGTGCGATGATCCCCGGCGACAACATGGTTATTTCGTTGGTAGTGGCAATCCACAGTAACTCTTGTCGTATTTGCTGTCATGCACTCGAATCTCGAGCGGTCTGCAACACAGGAATGTACTACTATATTACAATAAGACACAAAGATCAATTAAGATTATTGATGAGAATCATGCATTTTGTGAAACATACATCAAGAAACATAGTTAAAATTCACTCAAAGGGTCAAACTTTATGCTTGATTTAGGATTCCGAATATGTTTTAACATACATAGGCAAAACCATGACTTAAACTGCATGGGGGCTTAAATAACCCAGTAGTTATAAACTTTTATAAGAGGCAACGCGTGTGAAACGGCTGTAAATATGAATATGTGTTTTGTCCACCAAGTGTTGCACCAAAGGTGTGTGCTCAAAGGTTTTCATCAATAATAGAAACGTTTAAATGAAGTTAACTATCAGTTGAAATCAGTCAAGTAATTACGAAAGCATTGCGAATCAGTAGCATTTGTTGTCAGGTTATGAACTGCTATAACACGGCGTTTATTAAATATAAATTCATATTTAACTCATCATAAAACTGAAAAGCTTTAATGCACTGTAATCTGGATTCGAAGGCAAACTACTTGTTAGAATTCTATTTTCCAATGAGAATAGTATTCACACGGTGAAAATAAATTACCGTATATGTTTGAAACCAAAATGCTAAAGTTCAAAATAGTTTTCAAAAAGTGCACTTCGCAACTAATCTGAATAGAGAATAGCATTGGTACAAGTGACATACATGCCTCAAACCAGATTTAGGGCCTAAAATGCACATTCTCCACCATAGTTCCATACATCTAAGAATTTTGAGACTTTGAAGCTGCGTCGATTAATCCCTGTGGAGCATTTATATATTTCTGTACCACTTATACATTCTGCTTATTATGCAGTTGAGATTAGCTTCGTATTATTCATTCTTTGTGTATAAACTAGAGATGTGTTTACGGGCTATTGGCATGTTCTAAGCAGGTGGGAATCAGCGTTCATGCTAATACGTTCCATGTTGCACTGGAAACATGGAGTTTTGCTCATGAAACAGGTTTTAAAAACAAAAATGTTGACGATCAACTCGTGCCAGGGCATTAAAGGTCAGAGACAGATAACAGTATCGAATTATCTGCAACCAGGAAAGAAACGGCGAATCAACTCGTTTCAAACTTTCCTCAAGCTACTGGTTTAAGGGTCAAATGTTCA